CTGTCTTTTATTATGGGGTAGGGAGTGGTTGGGAGATGGGAGTCTCTGCTTCTACCTAGAAGGGTAGACAGAAAATTATTTTAAATTATCCCTACAGCTGCTACATAAATTCAGTTCTGGACTTAGTTTCCCAAGATCTTACAGGCTTGGTTTTTGTGTTTCTGTGTGTGTGTGTGTATTTTCCCCCTGCTGTTAAGTTGTAATCACTCTTGAGCTCTCTCAATTTGCTCTCCTCCAAATAACCACTCTATCAGTTTCATTACAGTGCTCTTAGATGAGAAAAGAAGGAAAAAAACACTCAAATTTCCAATCAACCTCCCCCGAAGTCAGAGACGTTGGGAACTAAAGGGAAAGAAAAAAGATAAAGTTTTCTGTAAGAGCGGCATAGGATCGGCCAAGAGTGGGATGGGAGTGGCGTGTGGGTTAGAGCCCAGAATTCCTGTTTCACATTCTGAGTTGATTCTTTCACCATAATTATCTAAGTAAGAAAGTCTTTTTGGCATGGGGGGGTAATTAGGGTTTTATTTTTATTTCTTTTTTAGAGGAGGTACTGGGGATTGAGCCCACGACCTCATGTATGCTAAGCACATGCTCTACCACTGAGCTATACCCTCCTCCCAGAAAGTCTTTATTTTTTATAGTAAGCTGCTTCTTCCCCCCTCCCCCATCCCCCAACCCCGGAAGATGACAGCATGATTAGGAGGTAAAAGAATAAAGAAGAAAGAAAAAAAAAGTTTCTGCTGTATAGCACAGGGAACTATGTTCAATGTCTTGTAAAAGCCTTTGATGGAAAAAAAAACATGAAAATGAATATATGTATGGATACAGGTGACTGGGACTTTATGCTGTACATCAGAAATTGACACATGGTAACCGACAGCACTTCAATAAAAATAAATAAATAAATAAATAAATAAATAAATAAATAGACAGATGCAGCCCATGTCTTCATTTATTCAGCCAGTAATGTGTGAATATGGCAAAGCCCCTGTCCTCAGGGAACCCACAGTCTGGGGTGGGGGATGTGGGACAAGGATAAATCAGATCATTTCAGACGCAGATGAGGCATGTGCGAATGAGGTTCTGTAGAGAAGGGGTCCCAAAGCGGAGTGTGATCAGCTCTAGACTGGGGAGGAGGGCCAGGAAGGCTTCCCAGAAGAAATGACCCGAAAGCCGGTTAGGGGCACATCCCCGGAGAAGGAAGGGGCCCTCCCTCCAGGCAGCCAGACCAGCACGCGCAGAGGCAGCACAGGTGGAATGGAACAGGTCAGGGAGCCATGGGACATTCAGAGCAGCCAGAACACGGGGTATGAAGAGATACCCCGTCAGATCTCCAGCGTGTAAGATCTAAGGCTGAAGAGACAGGCAGGGCTCAGACAGTGGAGGACTTTGTCAGCCAGAAGGCCGACCTCATCCTGTAGAAGGCAAGGAGCTGTGGACAGGGTTTAAAGAGAGAAGCGAGTTTGCCTTAAATGCTGGCTGGCTACAGAGTAGAGAACGGACTGGGAGGGGTGAGACTGGAGGAAGAGCAGTTGGGAAGCGGCCCAGGTAAGTAGCGCAGAGAAGACTGGGGTCAATGACGTTGAAGAAAAGCGGATGGATACAGTAGTTTCAGAAGGGAGACCCTACTGTGATGAGAAAGGAAAGGAGAGGGTGGTTTCTAGCCCTTTACAGAAGAAAGAAGTTGGAGAAGAAGCAGGGGGTGGGGAGAGATTATGAAATGAGTTGGGTTAGGTAGAATTTATCCTTTGAGGTCCTCATTCCAAATTCCCTTCAGGTGATCAGTTTTCACGGGACCGCCTTTCTCACGCCCCCTTGTGCCCAGCTGGTTACAGCACCCCTCTAGGTCCCCTTGTAGGATGAAGAAGGGACAAGCTACTTCTCTTTTTGGGACCTCAACTTCCATCTGGAAAATGAAGGGACTAACTCCCTGGGATGGAATCCTCCCTTCTTCTCCCAGGCTGAGTTGAGCTCTCCTTTCTCCCCATCTTGCAGTCCTGTCTGTGTCAGCCTCACACTGCTTGGCTTTGCATGACCTGCTCTCCCAAGTCAACTCTAAGATTCTAGGGGGCAGGGCTGCCCTGTTCATCTCTGCATCCTCCACCCACTGCTACTAGGGGCCCCCCACCCCTCAACCCCCGAAACAAAGAGGACAGTTTTCCTGAACGTAGATCAGTTTCCTTCTCACTGTCTCTGTCATCCTTCTATTCCAGAACTTCCAGGTGCTGAGTCTAGAATCCATTTTCTCTGTGACTTCTGGGTTGGACTTCTTGTCTCAGAGCCCAGCTGAGCGGGACTGGGGATGGAGGAGAGGAAAACTAACAGGAGAGGAGACATGGTCAGAGTCCTGGCTCCTGGGGAGTTGTATCCAAGTCCTGTGTCTCGTAGGTATGTATGCATGTGTTCACGTATCTATGAGTGTGTGTGTGTGTATGTGTATAGCACAGGACATGAGTGGTCCTGGGTTTTTTTTCTTTCTGTATTAAGGGGTATGTGTCTGCATCTACATGACCACACGTAAATCAGTGTGCATGTTAGCATCTGTGTGTCCATGAATATCAATGCCTGTGCATGTGTGAGGGCCTCTGTGTAGGCAAATGTGTATGTCTGTCCACATACGAGCGTCAGTGTGTATGTATATGTTCCCATGTCTGTATGCAGGGGGGTGCATGTATATAAGGTGGTACATGTGCGAACATATGAGTGCCTCTGTGTGTGTGTGTGTGCTTTGTGTATAATGAGGCAATATACAGTGTCTAGTTATGACACATGCTCCAAATTCAAGCCCTGAAAACAGCATTTAAAAGTGGTAAACCCTTGGATGAGTAATTCTTTAAACCTTGGTTTACCCATCTCTAAACTGGGGATAAAAAATAGTACATACACCTTGAGTATCTAATGTGAACACAGAATGATACAGTGTCCACCATGCACCTAGCATGATGCCTGATGCAGAGGACATGTTAAAATGTTGGCTGTTACCAAGTTATTCATGGCAATAAATATGTAAGTGACTGGGCTGGAGGACCCAGGGGAGGATCTGTGTGTGTGACATGTATCTTTGGGCAGGTGAAGTTGAAATGTGTATCTGTTGGCATGTGTATGTTGGCAGGGGTGTGGGCCCTGCGTCTGAGGGTCAGTGGGGGTGAGTGTGTGAGTGTATGTTTGTGCTCCACCAGATTGTGCAGGGACTGTGTTTCATTCATTATTTTACCCAGGATCTTGGACCTGGAACATGACAGTTGCTCAGCAGATCAGTGTTGATCGAATGAACAAAGTAGACTGAATATTCAGAGACTGTTATTTGCGTAACATGCCCATTTATAGAAAACAAAAATCTGCGACTAGCTAGATGATAGACGTATAGGTAGGCAGGCAGATGGAGAGGGAGAGAGAAAACGGGAGACAGATGAATAGATGGATAGAAGGATAGACAGCGGGCACAGACAGACAGACAGATGGGGTTGGGTCTAGTTAAGTAGAATCCCACGCACTTTACACTGGAAGAGATATTAGAGGTCAGGTGTCCCAGGGAATCCCAAAACTTTGCCCTTGGCAACCCTGTGGGTTGTCATGGAGTTTCTTTGAGGGCCTGAGGAGGGAAGCACGGAATGAAAGAGATAAGCCCCCCGCTTGACATTGACAAGAGTCTGTTTGCTCTTAATCTCTCTATATATTGGATGTTTGCGTAGACTTGTATTTAGAGAAAGGGGTCCACTCTGCATGTTGTGAATCTTGCTCTAGCCCAGCCCCTCTATTCTACAGAAGGGAGAAGACGAGCCTCAGAGAGCAGAAAAGGTGAGGACCTGCCTCCTGACCTCCTTTCAGATCCATGCCCCGCACATCACCTCCCTTGGAAGACAGTGGTTATGAGTCCTCTAACTTACTAGGAAACAAGACACAATTCCTCCCTGGAAACTCTCTTTAAAGTAGCCATTATCATAGCAGCTTTTTGGGATGTCCATCCAAGGAACATCCTCATTCATCCGAGACCTGTCCCGTCAGGTTGGCCCCGTTGCCTATGTCGGTGCCAGGGGAGCCCATTCACCGGGCCTCAATGATTGGACCAGGGGAAGCACTCAGATCCAAGCAGGGAATTGCATGATCCCTGTGCAATTTGGATGTGGGATACTGAGATATCAGACAGTCTCGGTGGTCCCTGAATTAAGAAGTGATGTGATGCTGCAGTGTCCATAGTTAATCAAGGATGATGAATGAACAGGAGAAGCTAGGTTCACAGAGAGAGGGGGCAATGAAGGGGACACACAAAGATAGGCAGATGTCAGTGCGGTGTGGCTTCAGGAAGAGTGAAAGATGGAAGGACAGACAAACTTGATTTCTCGTGGTTTTCCTTGTGCAGCCGGGTCCTTGGTTTTTGTGCTCCTGTAACCTTATAACTAATTCCCTTTTGGCCTGAGTCCGCTGGAGTGGGTTTCTGTTTCTTGCAACCACACCATCTCTGAACAACACCGCACTTTGGAAAGTCTCCTCCTGGCAGATAAACAGGCTCTGCCTCAGGTGGTCTGGCCCAGATCCCGTCATCTTCCCTGAGGCCAGCGTGGAGGGGTCTTATGCATAGCTGTGGGGAGGGGACACACTCCATATCTGTGGCATCTTTGTGGAGTGCTTTGTGAGGATTCATTAAAGGTTTCCAGAAGGGGACTTGACCCATCTCCCAGGCTCTGCTGCTATATCCTCGGGGCAGAGTCGATGCCTTGTTTTATGCTGGGCCTGCCTGCTTAAGCCTTCAGAGCTAGCGCGTCACTGTTTACAGCTAGAGATGTGCTCTGGGGTGACAGCATCTCTGAACCGAATCGAGCAGTTCTTCCAGCATCCAGGTCCCAGGGGTGGGGATTTATGTATCTCTGGGCATGTCAGAGCGTGTCTGTGGTGTGGCAGGGGTCAGGGGAGCTATGGGTCTCCAAAAGTGGCCCCTTTATCCCGTGTCCCCATGGCAATTGTTGAGACCATGATGGAAATACATCAGAGGAAGCGGGATGAAAGCAAACGTCAGCCTGTTCAATTCAGCAGCAGCCAGAGCAGGGGGTGCTTGGGAAGGCCGTGGGAGGTACCTCTTTTCCAAGCTCCTCCCCTCCCCCTCCCCCTCCCCCCGCTGACTTGGCCCCTCTTCCCTGACGTTATAAACAGGTGCTATGCTTCTGGTAAAGGCTGGAGCCACAGAGGCACCAAACAAATTTGCTTTCGAGATCCTGCTAATGAATGAGCCAGGCCAGGCCAGGCGCCAGGGGGCCCCCACCATGAGAAAAGGAGGAATGCAAAGGCACTGAGAATGCTAACAAGGGAAAGCTCTTCTTTTTCCCCCCAGACCTAGCCTGGCCTGGAGTCTGTTAACACCAAGACCATCTACGTTGATTGGAGAGAGATCCAGCAGAGTTGAAAAGTGACTGGAAGCCATCATTAGAGGGAAGAACATGAGCTTCAGGGCCGGGTGCCCAGCTGAGCTCTCAGAAGAGCCCAGCCAGGAGCAGAGGGAGGAGAAGCATGGGCCAGGCCACCAGGAACCCTGGAACGGGAGAGAGATGGCTGTCAGGTGCTGGGCTTCGGAACTCAGCAGCCAAAGTGAGGCGGCCTCCTTATCCTCTGCCTTCCGAGGATGACAAAGGCCGAATAGCCTTACTATCTATTCTGGGTTGCAGCCCCTGGGAGGCGGCAAAGGGGTCACGTCATAGAGACAAGGATGTCTAACCACCAAACACCTCTTCATTTTCCTCTGGACACACTCACAGGTACTCTCCCCCGCCTCCTTTGCAGGTAGGTGGGACCATATGGCTGAATCAGGCCAGAGGAATGTGGGTAGATACCACGTATGCCACTTCTAGGTCTGGTCCTTAAACCCTCCTATGTAATTCCCCCTGCCCCCTCATTCATCATCTAGGCACCAGATGCCAAGCACCCAGAAGAGAACTTGCAGGGGATAGTGGAGTTGCCAGAAGTTACCAGAAGGTAGGAACCCGAGTCCTAATGACCATATCCTCCAGTGATTTCATGTGAAACAAACTGTTGCATAAAAAGCACAGAAACTTGGGGACTGTTTGTTACAGCAGCTAGCATTACTCACTCTGACTAATACTAACGAGGCAGAAAGACACAGAGGTTAAAAAGTACTACCTCAGAGGCCTGACTACTTATCTTAGAATCCCAGCTCTGCAACTAGTTGTGCAGGCCCAGGCAAGTTACTGAACCTCTCTGTGCCTGAGTTTCCCTGCATGCAAAATAGAAACATTACTAGCAGCTATTACCTCATGAGATTTTTGTAAGGCTTAAGCGAGTGAATTCATAGCAAGCATTTAGAACAGTGTCTGGCACACAGTAAACACCATATAAGTATTGGTTTTGAAAACTGGACTCTAAGATCTGGGAGGCTGGAATCATATTTCTTCTGAATATCACTGCATTCTCAGGATTAATGAAGGACAGGTGTCCTGGATCATAGCTGCCTTGTACTGGAGGATCTGGGAGAGGCATGTGACCCAATGCCCCCACACAAAGGGATTGTAACATCTCCCCATCCCCTAAATTTCAAAATAAACTGCTGATATCTCTAGGAGGGAGAGGAAGAAGAATACTATAATTTTCAGAAGCATATGAGTGTGTGACAGCCAGTTTATAATTATGGAACATAGGCTGATATTCAGTTAATTCTAAAACATCAGAAACGGTGTGTGAGTCAGCAAAGAACGAAAACCACAGGCGCCCTCTTGTGGTAGTCTGCTACCACATCAGATGAATTTCCTCCTTTTCCAGAAGGCTCCAGAATCCACCACCCACCAAGAAATTAGTCAATTTGGCAAACATTACTGCGTAGCCAGGCTGCTCCAGGCCCTGTGCTAACCTGAAGGACCGGAATAAATGAACGAGACTTGAGGCCCCGGCTCTGAAGTTTCCTCTAGCCTGAGCTCTAAACCCCGTCTCCGATGAACACTGCTTTTCTGATCATTGTCTGAATATCAGCATCGAGCTTGGCTAGGACATCTTAAGCTTATTTGGAAACTTTTAGACGGTCATCTAGTTGGAGATTTGAGGATGGGTAGAACTTTTTCCTGTCCAGGTTCACCAAAATACGTCATTTTGGCGGGTAGTAAAATCTTAATAACATTAATTTCCCTTTGATCCAAAATACCTCTCTTAGATTTGTCTCTTTGTTGAACTCCAATTCATCCATCAAAACCCCATTCAGATGTTACCACCTGCTGAGAGTCTCCCCTGACTTATCTGATACAGTCAGTTACTCTTCTGTGTCTCCCATCTACACTGTCTACTTGCTTGTGACTTATTTGCTTACACGCTTATCTCATTTTTGCAATCATTGTTCATTCTGCCTACAGGCTTATTTCTTGAATATATGCACACCTGGCTCCCTTTTCTCCTTTAGTCTAAATAGCACCTCTTTTGAAAATTTTTCTGATCACTTATCCATTCCAATATTCATTCTTCCTTCCTATCTTGTTCGTAGAACCATTAAGCATTGGTTGGACACATGACAACCTAGGATACAGACTACATTTCCCAACTTCCTTTGTAGCCAGGTATAGCCATGTGACTAAGCACTGGCCAATGAGGTATAAACGAAGCTATAAGGTGTCAGCTTCTGGGAATGTTCCCTAACAGTCATCGACTTCTTCCATGTTCCCTCCATCCTGAAGCCTAGATATGAAGGTTGGTGCTCTGGCTGCCATGTTGGGCCCTAAAGATGATGGCCACACCTTAAAGATGATAGAGGGGTGGGCTGGAAGGAGCTTGGATTCTCTTTTTTTTTTTTTTTTTGGAGAACCCAATCCCAACTAAAATGTGTGACATCAGTGATTCCTGCCACAAGGTGGCAAAGTAATTGCTAAAAATGTCACCAATGAGTGACATAAGAGAAAGTTCCGGTTGAGGGAGGAATTGGCCAGTGCAATGATTCAGGCCTTGTAAATACAGGGGAAATGGAATTGGTTAATTATTACTGCTTTTAGTAAGGCCCTACTGCAGAAGGATTTGAAACCGAGGCGTTTTCATTGTTAGGGCCACGTGAGTGCGCCAGGGGTCTGTCTGGGAGCTGGCTTACGAGAGGCCCTTATTTCCTGCAGTTGGAGGATGGATACAGTGGAGGAGCAAATTTGGGCTCTGATATAGTTGCTGAGCTTAAAAGATGGCTGAATGCTCTGTCAAGGCAGCTCTGCTACGATGTCAGAGACCAGTTGGAAAAACCTGGGGAAACATGGGATGGGAGCATCTGGATCATGATTCTTCAGCCAGCCCTCAACCTCCCTCTCTTTATAGGAACTAGCCTTGCCCTATCCATGACAACAGCCTGGATTCCTGACGATCTTAGAGCGCTGCCCTGCTGGCTCCGGGTTGCTTGCTTTTGGACTCCATTTATGTGCGTGAGAAATAAACCCTTGTATTATTTAAGGCGTTATTACCCGTGCTGGTAACTTTCTATCACATTACTCTCTTCTATTTCTAAGTTATCCTGTTAACTTTTTATTGTCTACTTCCCACCTGGAACATAATCTCCATGAGAGCAGGCACCTGGCCTGTCTTGTTCACCATTGTAACTTCAGTGCCTAGAACAATGCCTGGCCCATGGCAGGTTCTCAACAAGCACTTATCCAATGACTGGCTCTCCTGCTGCACTGTGAGTCTCTCTAGAGCCATTCTTGGGTCTGATTCATTTCAGTGTCTGCAGTTCTGGGTGCAGGGCCTGGCACATTAGAATACGCTAAATAAATATGCCTTGACTTGAAAAGAAGGAGAGTTGGAGGAGGAGGGCTGCGGGAAAGGCAGGGGGAAATGATATACCTGCAGTGCTGGGGGCTCCGTCCACGATGGCACCTGGAGACAAGAGCAGAAGGTGAGGGTTTCCTCAGTCACGCTCCGGTGATGGTGGCACTGTGGCCATGGCTGCTCCCAGTCCTCCGGACCTGGCCATCACAGCCACTGACAGTCCACATAGTGGAAGCATCTATCATCTAGCGGGTACCTTTCTAAACACGTTTCATGCATTTGAAACTTGGTCCTCTTAAAGATTTGTGAGGATTTTTTAAAGTCTATTTTTCTATATAGTGGCTAACATTTAATAACCTTTAATGAAAAAGAATTTGAAAACGAATATATGAATGTATTTGTATGAGTGGGACATTGTGCTTTGCACTAGAAATTGATACATTGTAATTGACTATACTTCAATAAAAATAATAAAACCTTAATTGAAAATTAAAATTAAAAAAAAGTAAAAGAAAGATTTGTGAGGAAATGTTCTTATCTCCATTTGACAGGTGAGAAGACTGAGGCTCAGCTATGTCTGCCAGCAAGTAGCAGAGCTTGGATTTGGAGCCCAGTCTGTCTGATTGCAAAGTGAAACTTCCTACCTGGCCCAGCTACCCTGTGACAACACATGAGGCTTCAAGTGGAGGGCCCAGCAAAGGCTCCCAGGAGAGCCTTCTTCACGTGACAGCCTCAGTTTACTCATCTGGAGAATGGAAGTGGACATAGTGCTTATGTCCTTAGGCTGTTGTGAGCATTCCATGTAATGATGCGTCTAAATGTGTTTTATAATATAATTATATTATAAATATAATTATCACTATTACTATTATTAATGTTACTGCATCTTAATTTCTCTAGAACAAGAAAAAATGCTTTCAAATTTTTTTGGACTTCTTGACTCCTCCATTCCAGGGGGAATAAAAACCATAAAGGTACTGCTAACCTGTGAGTTGGATGGAAGAAAATTTGAGAAGCAATTGGAAAGCTTCCCCAATATCGTATCACAGAACACTGTAAGTGGCTTTTGAGAAACACAGTCATTCTCCAGAAGACAAAGTTGAGTTAGGACTTAGACTTCACCCCAGAGGGACTGAGTTATGGGGAGTTGGCAGGAGGAATAAAGAAAAGGACACAGGCTTTGGAATCTGACCGAGCTGGGTTCAGTGCTAACTCCAGCTGCTCATGAGTCAGACGACCTTGGATGAGTCACTTAATCTCCCTGAGCTTCAGATTCTCACCTGTAAAATGGCTTAAGTGAGTCAGCACATGCTGCGAGCTTAGCCTGGTCTCTAGCTCACAGAAGGCCCAGCACTTGTGGCAAATGTAACCATCATTCCCCAAAGCTCCTCCTGGGAAAGGTGCATTCACCAGTGGGGGTACACTGAGGAGGCAGAACAGGTCCTAGCTTGTTAGGCTGGTGATCCCTGGCATCCGCAGTTGCACTCGGCCAGCTGGCGTTGTCACCAGGACTTGACCACTTACCTCTCCGAGTGATGGGTCCCAGATCTAGAACCTGGGCTGAGTCGATAGCCACTAATTCACTGCGGCGTTGACTTCTTGAGCAAGACTGTGGGGATGGAGAATTCTCATTATATCAGAATGGAAAGGCACGGCTCCTGGTTCCTCTCCAGACCGCTCCTGCAACAGGCAGCTCTGGCCCAAGAATGCCCCTCCCCTCCCCTCCACCATGTGATACTAACTCTGATGCTCGGTTTCTCACTGTCATGTCAAGCGAACCTGGGTTTGGATCGCCTCTCCTCTCCTTTAGCTGTCTAACTTGGAACTACTTGGAACTACATCTCTCCACTATTGTTAAATAATATCTTCCTGGTTGGGACGGTTCAAAGGAAGTATGTCTATATCACACTGGCACACAGTAAGCACTCAGTGAATGCCAGCTCTTAGCAGGCAGTACCAATCTGGGTTAAGAGCATGGGCACTGTGGCCCCATCTCAGCCAGGGCACACCCTAGTTCTGACACTTTCTAGCTGTGTGGTCCTTGGACAAGGGACCTCTCTGAGTCTCAGTTTCCTCGTCTGTACAATGGGTTGATAAAAGAATCTCCTTAAAGGGTTGTTGTGAGGATTAAATTAGATAAGGCATATAGCAGTTTTAGTACAGTGCTTGACACAGAGTAAGCACACAAAAAAGTCAACTATTATTAAAATTATTTAAACTAGGTCTTATGCCAAAGAAACCTAGTGGACAGGCCCTTTCATCTGATCTCCTTCCTGAGGATGCAACAATTCTTTATGCATGGGCCTTCGGAGGCTTAAAGTCCATTCATTCACCCTTCTTTCTTCCCTCTCTTCCATCCATCCACCCATCTATCCATCTGTGCATTTCTTCATCCACCTAACTTTCTCTCCCTTTCTCCCTTCCTTCCTCCTTTTCTCTTTCCTTCCCTCCTTCCCTCCCTTCTTTCAATCCATCCATGATTCCAATAAATACATATGGAGAGCCTACTAGGTACCAGGTCCTATGTCCGGCACTGAATGGTGCAGTCCAAAGAGATACTCACCGGTTCACACTGTTCTTTAAGGGAATCACAGAGAGAAACTTCACAGTGCAGGAAAACCAGGTCATAATTTCCAGCAAACATGAACATCTGAACTGAGAACCGGCTTTCCGAAGACACCCCATTCTCCTCCACGTTGATCGTGGCATCATATTGATTTGGGCAGCTGGGGGTGGGGCGACAAGGGCAGGAGGCTAACTTCTAGAATAACTTAGGGGGCCTGAGGCCCTTGGCTACGTCTTTAATCTGCATCCAGTATAGAAACAGCGTTGGAGGTTTTTATCATGTTCACAGGATGCTAGGGGTGGTTAGCTCCCCTGCCCAGGTTTTCTCCATCCCAACAATATTGATTTTATTCCTCCAATGTTCCTCCATGATGCTACCCATAAGCCCACACGCTTTAGGTTTCCAGGAGCACAGTCCTTGGCGTGAGATGGACAGATTTCAAATAGCAACCCGACCCATTTTCTAACTAAGGGATCATGAGCATCACTTAATCTTACTGAACTTCATTCGTATTATCTGTAAAGTAGAGACAGGAATAAGCATTTCCTAGACATGATGGGAGAACTTAATGAGATAATCCGTGTATTCTGCTTGGCACATAGCTAAACTCAGTGACAAATATTAACTAGCATTATCACCACAGTTTGAATCATGCTCTATAAATATGCATTTCCCTTTGTTTTTGCCAGTTCACTGTATCCAATATTTTGTCCTATGACACTTATGCTAGCTTTCATGTTGATTAGTCAGTGTTAACGTGTGTGTAATAGTTTATCATTACTTAATAAATCCCCTGTTTTTGAACTATGAACCTATTGCCAAAGTTGTAAAAGATACTGAAATGAAAAATAATTGGCTTCTCTTTACCTTGCCCATGTATTTTTGTATTAATGCTTTAGGCTAAAATTTCAGGAATGATATTCCTGGGTCAAAAAGGTAAGGTCATGATATATGATACCAAATTATTCTCCAAAAGAGGCAAGCCAGTTTACACAACTGCCAGGCAGGGATGAGGGGATCTTTCCCCTCCACTCCAGATCTCATTTAGGCCAAAAGATAACCCCAGATTGTCCGATACCCACCCGTTTTGGATGATGAAATATCTCACGGGGTCATTCTTGTCTCCAGTGGGCGTGGCATAGCAGTTCCTCAACACCAGGTTAAACCGGGAGGTGTCCCCTCTCACCAGGGTGGCACCCACATAGAGCATGGATTCAACAGACAGCACGACTGCTGACCCTTCATAAGGAGACGTGTAGCTCTGGTCTTGGAAGAGGGCCATCTGGACAATGAACTCTCCCTCCCCGTCCACACTGATGTTCAGGGAACTGAGAACAGAAAAACCACAAGAGTGGACCGGTGAGAACAAAGTCAATTGGGTCCCCCACTTGCGTAAGGTTATGAAGTCAAAGGCACAACAGTGGTTCCCAAATGAACCATTCAATCGCTCATTTAAGTCAACATTTACTATCTTCTAGGCACTAAACTTGACAAACAGGTGAGTCTGGCTCCAGGATTTCTACCAATCCTGCCCTGCATCGGAGATTCACTCAAAGAACACCTCTGTCTTCTCATCCATGGAACAGGATTGGGACCAGCCCTGTGGGTTCACAATTTTTAGCAGCAGATCTCTTCCCTCCACCCCATAATCTTCAGTGAAACAGCAATTGTACAATGAGATAAATATATTGGTTTCATTTTTTATGAATCTTGGGCCCTGACACAACGCAGTCTGAAAACTAGAAATTGAACTAGAAAATGTCTAATCCTTATCCTGCCCTTCTGTGAGCCCAGGAGGCAGTAAGGGATGGGAGGGGCACCCTGGGTTTCTGATAGTCCCAGAAAGTCTCCTGGCAAGAATGCTGAGGAATTTATTCAAAAGGGCTGCATTCTAGGCACAGTGATACTGCAGTGAACTAAACAGATTAAAGCCCCGTGCCCAAGTGGAATTCCACCCAAATTGCTACTTGGTTCGTTTTTCTGGTGAATTAGGGGTGCTGTTTATCCAATCAAAACTGATGTGGCTTAAGTCCCAGATCTGCAGGGATGTGGGCTTTCCTGCCCTCACCTTTCCTCCCCAAACAAGATTAGCTGATTGGGACCCTCGCTCCCTGTTCCCACAGCACCCCGTGCTTCCCCTACACTGCATTCATCTCACTTGCAAATAATTATTGACATAATTAGTTGTTTAGTGCCTTTCTTCCTCAAGATAAATGAAATTGTCATGCATTTCTGTTCCCTAGCACATTTAATTAACACTGTTTCATGTTGCTGCATTGCTTCCTAGTAATAATGTTTAACATCCACAAAATATTCTATGCCTGCCTTGTTCACGTTGAACATCCTAATACCTTATCAACAAATGTTTGTGGAATGAGCAAGCAAATGAACAGAAGCTCCTGAAGGAGGTGGGTGATAAGATGTGGGTGAAGTGTGACTGAGGTCAGGGTTATGGGCCAAACGGCGGGTCAGTGCCGTACCTTACAATGGGCTGCAGGGCAGTTTGGAGGCTGACTTTCATGTCCAGCGGGTAGGCACACTGGAAGCTGATGCTCAGGATGGTGTCTCTGATGATGAAATCGTTGACCACGGAGAGGGTGTTTTTGTAGATGGCGTGGGTTTGGTTTCTCTTTGGCATAAAAAGAGGATCACGTGTAGGTTTACGTGGATGCGGGAACAGGTGTATCTGAACTCAGGTCTGAGTGCCTCCAGAGTGGCAGCTCTTAATCACTTGGAACCTTGCCCCCTGATCCCAATGAGAAAATAAGCCTCCTCCCCTAGTGGCACTGACACTTCATGGGAAGGAGAGCGAGGACCCCAGATCAAAAACTAGGACGGTAAATTGTTAACCCTTGGGAAGAGTCAGGAACCTCCACGCTTGCTCCTCTATGAACCCCACCCACATCATCCCTCAGCAAGACAGTCATAATCATGGCTTACATTCGCCGAGCTCAAGCATCAGAAGGCGTCTACGCTCTTTACACGGATAAACACATGTGATCTCACATACCCCTAGAGGCCCATGGAGGCTAAGTGACTCGCCCGAGGTCTCACAGCTACTAATGTAGCACAACAGCCCAACTCCCAGAATCTGGCAGCAGGGGGCAAGCACCGCTCACCTCCAGAACGTTTCCGCAGGCCCCAGCCTGGGTGGGGCTGGTCACGGATATCCAGTTCCTCTCCTCTCTCTGCATGGTGCTGCTGCAGTTCGAGGTCCGATCCTGCAGGTAGGCACTGACCTCGTCCTCAAACCCCAGGCCTCCCAGCACGCACTTGTCCAGTGACACCTTCATCTCGCTGGCCCCACAGTCCAGCTGAGGCTGCAAACTGTAGACATCTGGAAAGTCGAGGGGAAGGCAAGTGGAGTGGACAGGAGTCTGGAAGCCCTTTGGTAGAGCCACCAAGCCCACTGGGAGGCTAGGAGATTAGCAGGGGCCTGGGGCCCATGTGGGATTCACACCCAGGCTTGCAGAGGACAAGGTGAGCGAGGACAGTCCGGTCCACGATTTCCAAGCATGCTGTGTGCAGGCTTGGTGAAGGCTTTGTGTCTGGTTCTTGTTGGGGCCCAGAGCAGACCACCCCAAAACATGCCTAAAGGCATATTGATTATTTTGAGTTAAAGTTACTTAAGAAATGGCTAATGCAACACTTTGACCCTCCTCTCTGTCTCCTTGAAAGTGGGAAATCCATCTCCCATATGAAAGGCACACTCCGTGCATCTGGAGGTGGAAGCACACCCTTGTCGCCAGAGACAGGGGACTCGGGCTCCTTCTTGCCCCCCTGAGCAGGAAAGCACACCTGAGCTGAAAGCAAGAGTCAGAGGCCCTTGTTCGTGTCCAGGAGGGAAGGAGGTGATCTCCGTGGGACGCTCGTCTGTGGCATTCCTACCCACGGGACATCTGCCTGTGCTTGCTTACCTCCTGCGATGTGAACATCATCTCCAGAGCTTGCCCATGTGGGCTGCTCTGAATGAATTCTCATAAAAGCCCCGTATGGTAGGTATTTTTAATTTTTAATCTCATCCCCATTTTACAGATGAGGACATTCAGGCTCAGAGAGGGGAGATAGCTTGTCCCGGCCCCAGAGCTACTACCTAGCAGATTCAGGACAGGCACAGGACCCTTCCCCTGTCCCTCACACGCAGATCCCACAGATGTCTGATCGCAACTTCCACACTTGCCGAGTTCTCATCCTCGGTATCTTTGTCCCTTGTGGGTCAAGACCACTCATTCCAAGGCCACTTCCTGAGGCCATGGTCCAGCAGCTGACCTGGGAATTTGTTCCATTCCTGCCCTCAATCCTTGCAAACCCACTGGCTTCAAGCACTCACATTCCCTGACCTCAGTTCCGTCCCCACTGACTCTGATCCACACCTTGTCCCAACCCTATGAAGCTCCCTCCCTCATGCCCTGACCGCTTAGGTCAGCCCCCACCAGCCCTGCCCCTGCCCAGCCGCTCACCAGAAATGTTGAGGTCCTTTCTGCAGAAGCAGTCCCAGGTGTCCTCGACAAGAAGGCACTCCTCCTCAGAGCGGCAGGTCTTGTCACACGGGGGCGGGGGCGTAGGCGTGGGGGGGGGCGAGGGTGTGGTCGTGGGCACCGGCGTGGTCGTGGGCGCAGTTGTGGGCGAGGGCGTGGGCGTGGGCGCAGGCGTGGTAGTGGGCGGGGGCGGGGGCGTGGGCGTGGT